TACTACTATTAGACTAGACTAAGACTATATTATAATTATACTATAAACTACTAAGGCTTACTTTAGTATAATATATAAATTTTTTTTTTTTAATAATTAAGACTAATTTAAGCCTTTATTAACTATAAACTAAGATTACTCTTTAGTATTACTAAACTCTTTACTATCCTTAGTCTCCTTCTCCTCCTCCTCTTCCTCCTTAGGGGTTAGAGTTAAAGTAAGAGTAGTAGTAAAGGTAGTATAAACACTAATTAGTAAAGAGAGTTAATAGTTAATATAGTAAATCTCTCTAAGAATATTAAAGAGTAAGGCCTAATTAACTAAAGTAAGAATATAGCTTAAGACTATAATAGTAAAGATAATAAAAATAGTACTAGTATTATTAATAATAATAAAAGTATAAAAGTATAATAGAGTAAAAATAAGGGTAGTAATAATAATAGTTACTATTAGGTTAGTAGTACTATTATTAGATTAGATTTAATTAATAACTATTTTAATAATAATACTATTAGTATTATAATAAACCTAAGTTATAGTATAATAAAGTATAAAAAGTTTTAGTTTTTTAAGACTACTCATAGTTTAAGGCTAAAGTACTCTAATAGTTAGACTTAAAGGGTAGTAATAATAATAATAATAAAGAGTATAATCTAAAAGGATTAATAATAAGAATAATATAAAAAAAGACTAGACTTATAGTAGAGTACTATATATAGAGTTAAATACACTTAGTATAAATATAACCCTTACTTATTAAAGTTAGTAAAGTTAAGACTATATTAAAAGTAGTATATACTAGTAGACTAAAAGTAAGTAACTATACTAATAGTTTTAGTATAAGTAATATAGTAACTATAGGGGGTTTTATAAGGCTTACTCTACTTTAACTCTAGTTTAGTTTTATATAAGACTAATATAGACTTAATACTATTAATAAGAATAGTATATTTATAAGACTATAATAGTAAAAGAATAGACTAAGACTAAAATAAAGTAGACTTATTATAATAGAAAAAGTTACTAAGTATTATATAACTACTAAAGGGTTAGGACTAAGTTTAGTCTAAAGGTAAAGAAAGGAAAGTACTTATATTCTTTATAAGTATAGAAATAAAGGGTTTTTTATAAATAGTTAGTTTTATATAGAATAAAAGTAGATTAAGGATAGTAAAAAGAAGGAAAAATAAAAGTAAATAAAGATAAAATAGTATAATAAGAAAAATAAATATATAGAATTAAAGAGACTAAAAAAGAAAGAAAAAAAGAAACTAGAAGATAAAAGTATTATAGTCTCTATATACTTACTAACTAATAATAAATTAACTAGATTAACTAGATTAACTATTAGTAAAGAATAATAATAGTAAATTAACTATTAGGTTAGTTAGTAAGAATTAATATAAGACTATACTACTATTAAAGGGGTAGTTATAAGTTTACTAAGGATAGGCCTTTATATAATATTTATACTAAAATATAATAACTAGTAGGGAATATAATAAATAGTATAGTTAATATAAATAATAAATAGTTAAAGAACTACACTCCTATATAAGCTAAAGATAGTAAGCGCCCTAAGTATAAGCTAGGCGCCTACCTACCTAGAGATATAGATAGCTATATTCTTTTATAGCCTCTATATAGAGATTATAAG